GAAGCCTGCTTCTCCCTCTCCCACTCCCCCTGCTTGTGTTCCTGCTCTCGCTCTCTCTGTCAAATAAATAAATAAAATCTTAAAAAAAAAAAAAAAAGAATAAGACAATGGAAATTATTGCAGTTGAGAAAAAGAAACAAGCCTAAGGGATCTGTGGGAAACTATCAAGCAAATCAATATATGCATTGTGGGAGTCCCAAAGGAGAAGAGAGATGGGGCAGAGAATATTTGGAGTAATAATGGTCAAAAACTTCCTAAATTTGGTGAAAGACCTGACTATAAACATCAAAGAAGCTTAATGACTCCAAGTAAAATAAACTCAAAAAGACCCACACCAAGACACATTACAATCAAACTTTTGAAAGCAGCAAGATAGAAAGAACACATTACATACAAAGGATCCTCAGTAAGTCTAACAGCAGATTACTTATCAGACACTTTAGAGACCAGAAGTCAATAGGCCAACATATTCAAAGTGTTAAAGAAAAAATTGTCAGTCAAGAATCCCGTATCCAGGAAAACTATCCTTCAAGACTGAGGGAGAAATGAAGACGTTCCCAGATAAACAAAAGCTGAGGGAGTTCACTGCCACTTGATCTACCCTGCAAGAAATGTTCAAAGGAACTCTGGAGGGTGAAATGAAAGAGCACTTGAATCTGTATGAAGAAATAAAAATCTCAATAAAGGTTAAGACACGAAGAGAGTGACATCAGCATTGTGGAAGTACAAAATGTCCCTATCTTGTCCCCACCTCAACAACAAAAGTTGGGCATCCATCCACCCATACAGGTGCCTCTGTGGGAGTTGTGGGATCCAGCACCACATGCTAAGGGACCCAAAAGTCCTGCCCACCTGTGTATCAGGTACTAGGCAGAGAGCCTATGAACTGGCTCCAGCCCCTCTCAAAATAAATAAAATCTTTAAAAATAAATAAATAAATAAATAAATAAATAAATAAATAAATAAATAAATAAAACCTGTCTCTGAATATAAACTATGGACCAACGCTATTGAGATTAAAAAATCAATCCTCTGACTTCAGTTGCCTTCCAGGACTTTGTTTTTAACAGAGCACAGTAATTTTTGGAGGAAATAATATCACCAAAATATTTAGCCTCTATAGACTTTATAGAATTAGGACACATTAATATTTTGACATTAATTTGAATAACTTGACACATTAGTATTTTAATTAATAGTAGACAAGAATATCTCAAATAAAACAGCATCTTTTTTGAATCTTTCTTATGTGTCCCTCTGTGCTTGTTGGTTGAATCACAGTGCTTCTGCTAAAACAATAAAAAAGACAAGTGAGGTGAGGATTCTAGAAATGTGGCAGAATGGGAAATGCCAGCAATCTGTTTCCTTACCTAGATAAAAACTGTGCTGACGGAATCTGTCTGATGTAACTATTTTGGAATTCTGGGGTTTATTGAATGCTTACAACTTCAAGGAGAAGGTTTGGACAGTAAATCTGGTTAATTTCAATCCATTTTAGCTCTTAGCAAGGTAGCAGCTACCCATCCTCCACCCCCAGACCTGTGGCAGGCAGGTAGGTGCACAGACGCTCTGGGAGCAACCTGCACACACAGCTTGTGGAAGCCAGAGTTGGCAATGAGAACCCTGTCTTGCAAATACTGGAGATCTGTGTTTTGACCACTGATTGCTGTTTCTGATCACAGAGGTGCAAAGAGGAAGTTAGGCTCTGCTTCTTCCTCTACCCCACTGATGCAAGTCCTTCCACCTCTGGCCAATGCCCCTTTCCCCCTTCATTTTTCTCTTTTTCTCTTTTTCCCGTCTTGGGAGCTAGATGTTAAAGACTAGGACATTCAAAAGCAACTGCATGTATGGGGAAAGTTGGAAAGCAACCACGCATGTGCAGAGAAAGGCTCAGAAAAGACCTGAGAAGACCTTAAGTTTACACTTCAGGCTGATCTTTGGCATAGAGACAGCCTACAACAATCAAAAAAGTGAAGCAATAAACAGTAACAAAAGACACTAGACACTGGGGAAGGAGGGGAGAAATCTGATTTCCAGAGTTACCACATAATTCAATTTAAAAGTCTAATTTTCAATAAAAAATAACAAAGCATAAAAAGAAACAAGAAAGTATGGTCCATTCAAAGAAAAAATAAATCAAGAGAAACTATCCCTGAAAAAGACCTGATAGCAGATCTACCTAACAAAGACATTAGAACTGTCTTAAAGATGCTTGAAGAACTAAAGGAAGATATGGAGAAAGTCAAGAAAATGATACATGAACAAAATGAAAACATGAATATGAAATAGAAAATCCAAAAAGAAACCAAACAAAAATTCTGCCACTGAAAAGTACAATAACTCGAGTGAAATATTCACTACAAGAATTCAAAGGTATATTTGAACAGGCAGAAAAAAAAAAAAAAAGAGCAAACTTAAGAATAAGACAATGGAGTGTGCCTGGGTGGCTCAGTCGTTAAGCGTCTGCCTTCGGCTCAGGTCATGATCCCAGGGTCCTGGGATGGAGCCCCGCATCGGGCTCCCTGCTCGGCG